GTCCCTATCAGTTCAGAGCCTTCATCGGCCCTGTTAGTCTGGGGCTGTCTAAACCTTAACCCAGTTATGTAAACTGCTTGCCTGTAGAGTGTATTCTTGAAAACTGAAATACTTTTCATCAAATAAACTAAGAAGAAAGAAGACCATTGAGTATTAGAAACTCAAATCTTTATGTCAGTTTGTGTATATGTATTTGTATGAAGAGTGTTACTAACTGTACCCATTATGTCTCAGTCTGTATGTTCGTGTGTCTAAGTGTGTAAAAAATATATATATATTTTCTACCTCCGGAGTGTATTAATAAAATTGATTTAAAAACATGCGTTTGTGAAAATTGGGCATTCTAAAACTTCCAGAAAATCTAATTAAAAAATATTATGCATTAATGCTAATTTAAGCTTAACTGAAATGGACATGTCTTTATAGTTATCAGCTGCCAAAGTTTACTTAAAGTCATTTAAGTTGATGTTACCTGTTAAATATTCCAAGAAAATACTTAAACAAAGGCTTGACTTTGATGTGTGGTGAAAGTTTTATAAGTAATTTAGCATGGTTGCTAAAAATAAGTAAACAAGTGTAGCAAATAAACATTTTAATAATAATACTGTATTAATCTATAACAATGTCTATATCATATATCTGCAAACAGCCTGAGAATTTTTGTGGTAACCAAAATTCTTAAAGTTTGCCAAGTTATTTAAGAAAATAAGATCTTAATATTAAAAAGACTAAGCTAAGTGTTGTTAACAACTATGTAACCTTCTGCATTCGCTTTTAAACTTTCTTATTATCATTCTGGTTAAATAATAAGTGTTATTTAATGACTATAATTCTATTTAGGCAAGTGCCTTTAAAACTTTTGACAGCTTCCCATAACCAAAATTTAAAAAGGTATTTTTACCTCTAATTATCTCTGATATTTTCCAGCGGGCCCCTGGAACATATCAGTAGAATTTCTTCTCCTCATCAAAGAAAACATTTGACTAATTTGGCTTATTTACCTGATATATATTTACCTGGAAAGCACTGTCAAAAGGAATAATACTAAACTTTATTATTGAATCTTTCATGTTACATAAACATCACTCTT